TGGACACCCCGCCCCCCCGCCCGGCTGTATCTGTGGGCTCCACATCCGTGGATTCAACCAACTGTGGGTCTGATACTGGGTTGGTTGAATCTACAAATGCAGAATCTGTGGATAGGGAGGGGTGACTGTATCATGTACAGTCTGTGGTTTAGCTTCCTCATCTGTAAAGAGGAGAGTCATTGATTCAATTAAAATCAACAAATATTCTCTAACCACTCTGCTGGTGTAGGAGGTACACTGAAGAATGAGCAAAAGAGCTTGTGTGTGCGAAGCTTCGTGGAGCTTACAATCTAGTGGATACAGTAGTACCACCTCCTAGGGTTGCTGTGAAGAGTAAATGAAGAATAATAGAGTCTTAGAGCAGTACGGGACATGTAATGATTATAATCACAATTGTTATAATAACAATAAGAATGTTGTAATAATAATCGTTATTGTTATGGTTATTATTTAACAATAATATACGTAACTACCTCATGGGGTTAGTGTGACGATCACATAAATAATTTATGTTAAATACTTAGTAAAAACATCTAGAAATTGTGCAGTACATTTCATCTATCGTAATTATTGCTAGGTTAAGTGGTTTTTGCCAAAGGCAAAGAGTAAATTAAGGGCAGAGCTGAACTGTGAATTTCTGCCACGTGCCTGAACCATTTTGCACAACTCACAGGCTGTAATACAATTAAGTGATTTCCTATCTGTCTCCCCTGTTCAGCCTTCAAGTATACATTCTATCTGGCTCGGATTCATCCTGCCAGGCCCATGCGGGATCTCTCACCAGGGCCTCTGCACCATGATTTTAGACAGTTCTGGTATCTGTAGGGACCTTATATCATTATTCATTTATCCTGATTTAAATAAATATTTGGGGAGCCCCTAACAGGCACAACCCCCTCCCAACTGACATGTCCTCAGCATGTGGCATGTCATAGGTGCCCTACACTGTAAATATTTATGAATTGGACAAACATGTCAGGTTCCTGCCCCCAAGGAGATTAAATTCTAGTGGAGGACAAACTGCTAATGCAGGTCACAACATGGAAGCACCTCAAAAGCAGTATGTCAGGTGAAAGGACCAGGTGCAAACCACCACCTAGTGTATTGTATTGTACTGTATTGTATTGTATTGTATTGTATTGTAATATGTTTCCATCTGTGCTAAGTGCCCAGAACAGGCTAATCCAGAGAGACAGAAACTAGACCAGTGGTTCCCTGGGGGTTCCTGGGCTTGGGGATGGGAATGGGGTTGAAATGAAGATGGCACAAGGGATTTTGGTGGGGGTGAAGAAAATGTTCTAAAAATGGAGTAGGGTGATAGTTGCCCAACTCTATAAATTTACTAAAATGGGTGAATTTATAATATGTAAATTGTACCTCAGCAAAGCTGTTTTAAACCAAAATATTCTAGTGGAGGAAGACCTTAACCAACTAATTACTCAATTACTTATTTGGTTCCAGCTGTGATATGTTCTATGAAGGGACAGTCCAGGGTCCTGATTACCTAACGCATCCTGCAATCTGGGTAGTGAATGTCAGAGAAAGCATCTCTGAGAAAGAGTTGTTTAAACTGAGTTCAGATGGGGTGGGGTCAGGGGGACTCTGAAAGGCAGAAGACATGGCATGTGAGGGGCTCAGGGATGAGAAAGACCATAACAGTGTGGGCTTTTTGGGGAAATGAGGGAGGAAGAGGGACACCTGTGTCTAGAACACAGACTTTGCAGAGGAGAGGAGCTCAAGGCGAGGTGACAACTACGAAGGGCCTTTTAAGAACTTAGTCATTTAAGGGCTTCCCTGGTGGCGCAGTGGTTGGGAGTCCGCCTGCCCATGCAGGGGACGCGGGTTCGTGCCCCGGTCCGGGAAGATCCCACGTGCCGCGGAACAGCTGGGCCCGTGAGCCATGGCCGCTGAGCCTGCGCATCTGGAGCCTGTGCTCCGCAACGGGAGAGGCCACAGCAGTGAGAGGCCCACGTACCACACACACACACACACACACACACACACACACAAAGAAGAACTTAGTCATTTAAGCCCCAAAGACTGTGATGTGGACAGTGGCACTAGAGCCCACAGCTAGCCAAGAGTCACTGTAAGACTAACGAAGCTGTCCTGAAAGGCAACTTTTAGATTGCCTTGGTTTCCTCCCCTAGTTAGCCAAAGACGTGCGTTTATGCGTACTGTCTCCATAGAGACTTTATTTGACCAATGTCCTGTACGTTGTTGATTCAGATCACATTAGGAAGAAATCAGAAAACTGTCCTGCTATGCAAGTCTGATTTATAGAACATTTGAATGGCGGTGAACTCGATTAGAGAACCCTTGGGTTCATCCCCTAAAAGATTTCAAAGAAAGGCTCCTAAAATTTCCCCCCTACACACACCTAAAAAAAAAAAAAACTTTCAGATGAATCCAATATCACCGGTAAGTTATAGTCAGCTTTTAGTAGATGATCCATTAAGAGGATAATATTGGGAGAACACCTGGGTTTGCAGTCAGGCCTTAGAACTTTTGGCCAAAGATGCCCAAGCAGATCCTTGATTTAGACAAAATATGCTCCACAGACTCTTAACTCAGACACAAAACCAGATTATCTTAGTTTGGGGAGAATCTGAGCATCTATTTTCAATAAGAGCTATTTTTTAAGAAATCTCCATTTTAAAAACATTATACACACATGCACACACACCTTCTACCTGAAACATCCTGCATTCTCATTGGAAATCACTTCTTTTCTTCTCCTGAATTCTTCTAAAAATACACACAGTACTTCATTATCACCAGAAGGTTCTCTTGAGTCATTTTACATTTTTGGAGAAGCAGGCATTCTGTGTAATGATGAACACCAGCTTTTCCAGTGCATTCCTACAGAGCCATGTAGTTATCAAGGGCATCTTAGAAATCATTTCCCTTGCTTGTGTTCTATGTTCCTCATCCTTTCCCCACCATCTCAAACATCTCAGCTTCTAGCTGCTACTTAAGAAAGGGAATGGCTCATGTCACCACTCTCTGCTAAGATGTCCCCAGGGAGCACATGGATGGACTGTGTCACAACCCGAAAGGGGCTTCTGGGCTTCTATTTTCTTTTCCACAATGAGTTTCCTGCTTAATTTTAGGGATAAGTGAATTGAGGAACAGGGACCTGTGTGCAGCAGAGATTTAGTGGAAAAGGTGTTCATAGACATAGACTCCAATTATTTTCAAATTATACGTATAACATATACATAACTTTATGCACGCATATATGTATATACCTGTGGCTATACACACACATATATTTACACACAACTTTACACACGTGCACATATACCATGTTCCCCTTTAGGAAAATGAACCAGCCTTTTAAAATGTAGAAGTCATAGTAGATGAAAACCCTCTGCTCAAAACCCTCTGAAACCTCACATTTCACTCAAAATGACGTTCAAAAGCCAGGACCTGCAAAGCTCCGTATAATCTTTATAATTCCATCCCCGCCCCCAGTCTTTCCAACCTCTTTTTCTACCATTTTTTTCTTACTTCATCAGAGCCACCCTGGATTCTTTGCTGTTCCTCTAACACATTCTTCCCACTCCTGCCTCAGGGCCTTTGCACGTGCTGTTCCCTCTGCCTGGCATGTTCTTTCCCCAGATAGCTGCTCTGCTCACTCCCTCAGCTCCCTGCCAAACATCATTTCTAACACACAGGTTTCCCTGACCACCCCTCTCACTCCCTTAGTTTTCCCTCCCAACCTTTTTGTCACCTAACACATTGTTTACATAGCATTTATTGCCTGTATCTACTCCATTCTAATGAATTCTCTGTGACAGCAGGAACCTTTTCTTATTCACCTTAGAGCTCCTGTGCCCAGAACAGTGTTGAGAGACTCTCAAATGTTTGTTGCATGAATGATGCTGGACTGATCCCATTGGACCAGACTGCTGCCAGTCACAAAACTTTGAGCTGGGAGGGATATGGAGATGGCAACTCATCCATCACCCCTGCCAGGAGGGCAAGACCATGCCCGACACACCACATACAAGTGAAGTCGTGCTCTGAAATCAACATTCTGAGAAACATCACCGTTAGGAACAGGCAGCTCAGACGAGAGCCAGCCACTGGCAAAGGGCCCTTTCAGCACAGCCTGTCAGGGAGGTTCTAGATGCCAGACCCTTACCCAGCTGGGCTGTGAGGTTCTCAGAGCTGCCGATGAGGCTGCAGGGCCCAGTGAGGAGAAGCAAGTGGGACTGGGGGACTGCATGCTCCTCTGTAGTGGGGTTTTTGCGTTTGGGATCTCTGTGGGCAGGCCAGTTAAAAACCCCTAGTAGAAAACCTAGAGCCTAGAAATCAACTTCAGCCAACTACCTGCAGACCAGATGAAGCCTTCCAGACAAAGTCCATTGCGAAGTGCTACAGTCCAGTGGCCACAGTTGAAGCCCATAGGGCAAAATATGGCTGAGAGGAGGATGGCTCAGCCGCCTGGGCCCTAACTGTGACTGCCCACCGGGACCTCGTGGCAAGAGGAACAGCAGGCAGGCCACATGCACTGCTTCAGTTGAGCCTGACGCTAAAAGCAGGTCTCCTAGTCTGTATCTCTTCCCCCAGTTTTCTACCCCACCCCACCCCAGCCCACCTCAAAGGGATGTGATTTTTATGTAGCCAAGGAACAGGCTTTACCCCACCCTTCACAGTGAGAGATCCAGCAGATTTGCAGACAACAAATGCACAGCATCACCTTTCCACAAATGAGAGAAGAAGAGGGATGGAGAGATGGAAACCAGGAAGGGCCAATGGGAAGGGAAAGAAAAGCACCAGGAAAGAGGAAGGAAGGGTTTTATTCCCATCAGAGGGACAGAGGCAGATTCTGAATGTACAAGTATGAGAAGCAGAATTGGAAAAAGGGGATGAAAGAGACAGAATTGGGGGGAAGTGGAAGATCTCAGTAACCCCAGAGCCTGGTGCAGAAGAGGAATGAAGTGAGTCTGCGTAGAATGAATAGATTAATCGTATTAACACACTGACCTGACCTCAAAGGAGAAATGATAACACTCGCCCAGCACTTTGTAGGTTCTGGCCGCAGACAAGCACTTCCAGGCATTTCCTGTTTCACTGGGTCGTGAACCGGCTCCTATGAATCAAACTCTCTTCTTGCGGTGAAGGCTGACAATGAACTCCTCAATGAACTGTCCTGATTCAACACTGTCATATGGGGTGGAGGAAATCTACATGGGTCACCATCTATGGGGTCAAAGAAATAAATGAACAAATTATACCCTGCCTAGGGGTTGCCCCTCCATCACCTCCCACCTCCCCCAAGCCCTCACAGCTCTGCTCTTTGCCCCTCGCTGTTATTCAGAAGCTGGCCATTCACCTCTGGGTGGGTGCTCTGCACTGAGCTTCTCCAGATAGGCTGAAAAAAAAGACCTTTTAGAAACTGTTGCATATTCTATGTCTTAAAACAGGTCTTTCAGCAGCAGATCTTCTATCTAAATCCACTTATCTTGGAAAGCTGGAGTGGAAGACACAGCTTATTTTTTTTCTCCCCTCACCCTCAAGAAAGTCCTCCAACCACCTATGCACATGTGCTTCTGTTCTGCTCTCTCTTTTGTGTCTCTGCTTCCAGAGAGGATGCTGGGAATAATACAGATGTTCCCCTTGTATATAGTTTGCATAGCAATTGCTGCAGAAATAAATATTACGGGCTTGGCATGGCAGGATCTATGGACAATGCCATAAGATAAATAAAAAAGGGAAACTGTGTAAGCTGTTTTTACTTTATTAGCTATAAAACCCAGGCTTAGGCAGGGATCAGAGAACCCAGCAGACATCATTCAACAAAAAGTGGCGCATTCTTTTGCTCTGCTTTCCTTTTTTTTTTTCCAAATGAGAACATCGCCACCTGGTGGGAATCTCCAAATCACCACCGGCAGTTTCCGAAACAACTCAGAGACAGAAACCCAAAACCTGAGCACAGAGGTCAGCGGCTGGCAGAAAGGAGGAACTGGATATTAGAAGAGCACAGGTTTCAAATTACTTGCTGGCCTTGTAGAGTCTCTCATATACAACTTGTTCCCAGGAGACCAAATCTCTTACAAATCTTTCTTTCTCTTCTGCAGCTCTCGTCTTCCCTGATTGTGGTTTTCCGGGCCTTCCGGCTCTCCTTGCTACTAGGTACTCAGATTGAATCCATTATTTAATGCCTAGTACACTACCCACCTTCTCCAAGAGTCCACTGAGACCACTCCAACCACGTTGGATTTCTCCCTCTTCCAACCTCCCAATGCACCTTTGTGCCACAAAATACACAACTTGATAAAATAATCTGCTCATTGCTCCTAGGCTGTTTGAACTTTCTCCTCAACTAAGGTCTGAGTCCCTGGATCTCTTAAACATTTATGCCATGGTCTCCAACTGGAGGCCACAGAGACAACCCAGCCTGGAGATAAGTTGGGGTTTGACATTCACACAATGAAAACAAAAGCTGTTGTTTCAACATTGGGAGATTTCACATAAAAATTTGAATTTCTAGAATTTCTGTTTAAAAAGCTTAATTTCTGCTAGAGCTGGGCCCACATGAAAGAGGCATGTTTCTGTTTTTTTTCCACAGTCCCCACCGTACTTTGTTGTACCATTAATAGCAGGTCTGAATTTCAGTTGCCATTTATCATTATGCTCGCTCTGAGTTTTTCTTATATCTGAGAAATATTTTTATATCCATGTCTCTGTTAAATGGGGGGAAGTAAGTAGTAGCCCAATATGCAAAAGACAAAGGCAGAGGGCATATTTCTTTGGGATCTTATCTATGTAACACACAAACATACAATCCACTTTATTTATTTCTGGTATTTGTCTGACCCTTTGTGAGATTTGAATTTCTTAATCCTCGGTTTGCTATAAGAAGCTCTAGACCTCCCACCAGGGTTTTGCTCAATCCAGACGCTCTCCCTAACAAGCCCTGCCCCATGCTCTTCTCTCCCATTGCCTATAGATCAGAGACCGGTAGATCTTCTTCTTTAAAGGATAAGAAAACCAGATATGGTTTTGCTTGAGGTCCATATGGTCTCTGTCACAACTACTCTACTGTTATAGCACAAAAGCATCTACAGATAACATGGAAACAAAGAGGCATAGCTGTGTGCCAATAAAACTTTATTCATATAAGCAGACAGCAGGCTACCAATCCCTGCAACAGGATATCTAACCATCGTGCCATCCTCCTTTTGGCATCACCTCCTCCAGCCTTGGTCAGGCTCATCTGTGATACGTTCTCAGTGAAATAACACTTTACTTCAAATCTTTCCTTCCCCACTAGGCTGAAAGCACCAAACTCCAAGATACTCCTGTATCTCCTGCGCTATCAGGGGAGTCCTATGATACACATAAGCGTAGCTAAAGAATGACTGTGAAGGACAGCAGGTGAATGCCATAACCAAGTCCAGAGTGCTCTGGCTGCACTGAGATTGAAGTCGGCTGCTTCTCTCTCCAGCAGCAGAACTGACAGAAGCACTCCATAGCTGACATGGGACTTCCACTGCATCAGGGACCCAGGCTCCTTCTAACTTGTTCTGTCCCTTAAGAAACAGCTCCCAAGCCCAGCATCCAGGTGGCTGTACCAACTCCCACCACTGTGTTTGCACAAAAGAGCTTAAATTCTAGAGCACGTTTCTCAAAATATAGGTGAATATCAGTCGAAGTAACTAGAAGAAGTCATTAGAGACTCTGCTACAACCATCTTTACTTCATTTACTCATTTGTACGTAAGTAAATTAGTTCTCCGTAAGGATTAGTTACTGTTAAAATCCCAAGCATGCCGCTACTCCACACTTCTGCATTGTTGCTGCCTGGAAGGTTCAAGATTTCATATGACGCCCCTCCCAGAAACACACAAGCAGAACACCCCTCCTCCATCCTGTGATTTTTCTCATAGAAATTATTACCATCTGATATTGCTATTTGTTTTTCTCACATCTATCTCACTAGAGTATAAGCTCCGTGTGAACAGGAAAGGTCCGGTACTTAGTAGGCCTTCAGTAAATATTGGTCAATAAATGAATGACTTTTGTCATTATTTCACAATGAGGAAGTTAAGAGAGGATTCTCATTTCTGTAGAATTTACGTAGAGAATTTAACATCCCAGATCACATCTCAGGAAGGTCTTTCTTGCCCAACAAAGGCTATTCTGTTTAGAGTAGCCTTTCCTTCCCATCCCTGCCACACTCTGTATACCCGGCTTTACTTCTTCCATAGCAATAATCATAACTGACATGTTAATTGTTTGTTTATTTGAATATTTTCTGCCTTCTCCCTTAGAATATAACTCTGAGAGAACAGTGGCTTGGTTTTGTCTACCTTTGTTACCCTAGAAAATAGCCTGTCACAGTGACAGCTCCCAATAAAAAGTATTCAGTGAGTGAAACCATCTACCCACCCATCCAACTTCCAACACTTAAAGTTCCCACAATGGGACATTCAAGGAGGTAGTGAGCTCACCATCACTGGAGACATCCAAATGGTGCCTGAACTACACTGACAGAGGTGTAGTAGAGATTAAGGTATTTGATGTATGAGCGCACTGAGAGGAGGTTTTCTGTCCTGAGGTCCATAGACATCTGCATGAATAACCTCAGGGGGTCTGAGATCTTGTAGATTATCTCAGACTTTCATGTACCTGGCTGGATTGTTCCAAAGAGATAATTCTAGCAATGTTTGCTGACTATTCCTCAGATATTGTTGGAAATGCAGAGCACTCAGAGATGAACAAGTCCCTGCCCTTATGAAGGTTCAAGTCTAATAGGAACAACAGGTAGTAAAGAGTCCAAAAAGGTGAATGAGGTCCCTAAGAGGAGCACAGGGGTCGCAGCAAGGGCCCTGCAACCAGTGGTCGGGGTCAAGGACGTGACTTGAGTCAAGGAAGTAACAAAGAATGATTTAGACTAGCTCAGGTGAAGTTGGAGATCAAAAAGGTTAAGAACCAGTGTTCTAGAAGATTCCTTCGAAGAAAGGCAGAAGAGCATGCAAGGAGTAGGGAAGACCCAGAACTGCCCAGTTCGGCAGATGATACCCACACTCTTCAGAGCAAACTCTCCTTGCTCTGAGAGACAGGAGTAATCATTACCCGAAGAGCCAAAGCTTGACAACGATCAAGACACCAAACAGGGCTACGAGACAGCAGTGCCCGCGGAAATGCATCATTAGTGCTCAGTGCCACATCAGTCTGTCCTTGTGAAAGTTAATGAGGACATGAAAATATCACAAGGAGACCTGAGCGCTGAGCGGCTAGAGCAATCACGTTATTATGCACTGTTCAGAGCTTGACAGAAACAAAGCTGAGACCATTCTTTGCTGTTCCATGCGAGTGCAGGAGTTTCATTTGTATAGTGTCTCCAGAGCCCCAGACCTGGAGAGCTTACCACTTGCTGAACAAACTCTCCAGCCCACAGGAAAGGCTTTGCAGGAGAGGACCCACCTCTTCCACTAGGTAGGACCCCATTGAGAAGGGTAGCTACGTGTGGACCTGCAAGGGCCCGTGGACACTCGGAGTCTTCTGTGAACTGTCCACTCTGCAGAGCCGACGAAGGTAGTGCCTACCAGCCCAGTGACTGTGGACAATTTAAATTCTAAATCCCTCAAGTCTCTAATCGATGAAATGGATATAAGAACGTTACCTCCCGCCACGGAGTTGTGGTGACAAATAAGTCAGATGTTTTGAATGCATCATGTGAACTATTGCCAATCCTTCCCCCCCATCCTCAGCTTCTGAGTGAGCTCCGAAAGCACTGACTCTCTGGACTCTCTATAAAATATGTTTAACGTACTAGGCACATCTTATCCTGTAATCAGAACCGGCTACATAGCTGGTGGCGCCCACTGCAAAGTCAAGCTGCAGGCCCCTTGTTCAAGAATTACTGAGAATTTCAGGATGGCCACAGCAGAGCATCCAGCCAAGCATGGAGCCCTTATGAGTGTGCGGTCCCGGTGACTGCACAGGTCACATATCCATGGAGCCAGCAGGTCAGTTATATCAACGTTCATTTTTATAAAATGGCCACAATTCCCACCACTCCTGTTTATAAACATCTTGATTTGGGGTCAGATTCTTTTTTGTTGATTATTTTATTCCACTCACAATACCTAGGGGATGTGCACTGTTAACCTCCCTGTTTTACAAATAAGGAAACCAGGTTTCAAGGGATGGAGTCCGGTTGAGTGAGTTGATCGAGGGAACACAGATTTGGGA